TAAATAATAACTCCACTTTAATTGTTATTTTTCACAAATATACCTCTAGCACACTGAAACTGTGATTGCGACCCCATCTAAATACTCTGTTCCATCTTGACAGTATTAAGATTTTTGGTTCACCGTAAAGCATGTATCTTAGGGGCTGTGGGATCTTGCTGAATTTGTCCAGGTTGGTCATTGTTGATGAGTTCACAGTTGATCTTTTTTTTTTTACTGAAGGTAATACTTTCTGATGCAAATGTTCCTGGAGAAGGGGAGCACAAGATCATGTCTTTCATTCGCGCGCAACGAAGCATGGAAAACTATGATCCGAACACCCGCCATTGTCTGCATGGGCATGTATGAACTTTAACCGCACGACACACTTGATTATCTCAATCGAACACAATGTTTGACATGTTCACTACTGCCTAGTTAACTCTGAAGAATTATCACAGGATGCAGATCTGATCATGCTCGCGTTGGCATCTCACGAAGTCCACATTTCAATTTTGCGGGAGTTCGATAATCCAAATGGAAGGATACCCGCAAGATTTTATCAGGTCTATTCCCCTGAAATAATATTACCAAAAGGTTCACATTTTGACTAAAGGAATAACACCTCCTTTTGCAGTTTGTGGACATATGGGTTCTGAGAGAGTACTTGGAGCTTGAAATGAAGACACCAGGTTGCAAACAAGATACCGAGAGACTAATAGATGACTTTATCTTTATTTGTTTCTTGACAGGAAACGATTTCATTCCACGGATTCCTTCACTAGAGATAAATGAAGTACGTATATTGTATGTTGTTAGATTCTAGTAATAATTTAACATATTCATTGCTGTGATTGTTCCTCTGATCTACGTTCGATGTGACAGTTTGCAGTTGATCTTCTCATTGAAGTGTACAAAACAACCTTCAACAAAATGGGGGGCTATATGGTCAACACAGACAAAGTACCTGGAGAATTTCTGCCTTTTTACTTTCACCGATGATTAGCCATTGGGTTGTAGTTTTATGTGATTTTGCTTCTACGGGAAACAGATTAAAGATAAATACGGTGTGTATCTGGAAGTCACAAGGTTAGAGAAGTTCTTTCATGAACTGTCCTTGTGCGAAGAGAAAATTTTACTCAAAAGATATGAACTGCAAGAGGTATGTTATCATCCTTGTCAGTAGTGCGCGCTAGTGCCAATTAGCATTTACATATGCTTTGTTATTGAGTTATCTGCAGAAGTTACTGCACAAGATACAGGGTGAAGCTGCAGTAAACGAATGGGCCAAGGGAGAGGACAGGGGAGAGAAGAAAACATCATTTGCTCAGCATTTTTTTTATCCTGTAGAGACTTCCCTTGAAAGAGACTCTGACGATGTGGTAAGGATTAGTTAGCTAAAAAAAGTTGTGTAGTGGTCTCGTTGGTTCTTCTAGTCAGGAAGAACGCCCCGAGTTCAAGTCATTTTTGACACACAAGGCAGTACTTCTACTTGCATCCCTAACGAGTCTAATGAATTGGAGTTCTCTTTATTTCTGCTACAAATTAAGGAATGCTTGAACTTCTGATTGATTCCCTATTATCAGGTCAGAGAGAATACCAGGGAGCTATGGAGAACTGTGAGCGATATTTTCTGTAATAAGGACGACCTTTTTAAAAATGGAGCCTGCAAACAAGACAAGGTTAGTGGCGTATATTGCTAGAGATATTTCTTATGTGTGCAGTTTCTCATGTATCTATTGCAGATAAGACCAGGATGGAAATCCCGGTTCTACAGAGAGAAGCTTGGTGCCGAAACTTCTAAAGAAGTTGGAAGGCTGCAGACAGAAATGGTTGTGGTTTCCCTTGTTTCTTCGTGCAAATGGAGTCTCATGAGGCTGGCCATGGGAAATTTAGATTGATATAATCTGTTTCTTTTTTCCTTACTGACTTGAATTATTTATTTTGCGGGTTGAACACTTCTCATATGTAATTTAGGTTCAGAAGTATTTAGAAGGATTATGCTGGATGCTTCAATGCTATTTTTCTGAAGTTCCTTCATGGACTTGGTATGAAGAAAACATATATAAATTGTACAATTTTTGTCTATATGTTTCCGTACACTCCGTAATTTCATGGCTCTGAGTTGTTATTATGACTTTTGTCCCAAGGACCACTAGCTTTCACAGTATTTCTATGCTAGTGATATCTGACAACTCCAGTACATATGTGCAAGAAAAACGTTTCCATTCTATGTCAATATATTTTATGGTACCCCCGCAAAAAAAAATGTCTAATGGTAGAATATCTGTGTTCTTGCAGGTGCTACCCATTCTATTATGCTCCTTTTGCATCGGATTTCAAATGTCTGTCTCGATTCAACATATCTTTCACCATGGATAAACCACTAAGACCATTTGATCAGCTCATGGCAGTTTTGCCACCACAAAAGAATGTTTTGTCATGTGCCCTTCCAAAATGTTACAGCAAATTAATGGGCTGTGAAGAATCTAAAATACAAATGTCCTATCCAACAGGTATTTAAGTAAATCCACCAAGTATGTTTGTCATTCTTAGTTCATACCATAGATTGTTGGCGTGCTTATGTAGATGCAATTATTTTATCAACAGAGTTCGAGATTGATCCAGATGGCAAACGTTTCTTGTCACAAGTAAGTTATTCGTTCACATGTCCATTAGGGAAACTGAATCAATTTATACTTTCAACTTAAACTGATCAAGTGTTGATGTGCTTAGTATGGCTAGGTTACACCCCTTAGGTCCCGCTTGGAATCGGTGTAACTATTTACACTTGTATTTATTTTACACGTGTATATTACCGGCCATTTGTGATTTCCACCTGAAAAGATAAATGACCGATGAAGGCGTGTATATTTTACAGACGTATAGCGCTCAGAAACTGAGAGTCCAATCAGGGCCTTAGGTGCTAGGTTATGCAAAAAGGACTCTGATGCTAACTTTCAATGAATAAATAAATTGTACTAATTTTCAACTAATAAATGGTTTCAGGGTATTGCAAAGTTACCATTCATAGACAAGGAACTGCTGCTTTCAGCTACCAAAATGGTAGAGAAAGATCTAACGGTAATAGAACCGCCTGCCATCTTATTATCTTCTACTACCAATGTACACTAACTTAAAACTACTGTTGCATAAATCATAAGTCAAAAAGCATCGGTATTTACCTTGTTAACACATGCATTAGGAGGATGAGATGGCACGGAATAATGCTCGGCAGGAGAGGATCTTCCTGAGGAACTCGCAGAGTCTGGCAAATACTGCAGCATTTGTGGCAACAATTTCAGACAATGCACAGAAAAAGCTTTGGATAGACACTAGGTGCTTGAAGTCTGAACTGAACTTAGTGAAGTTGAGTACTTTGTTCAGAGCAATACAGAACTGATGCTGAATATTTTGTCTTTGCATAGTGAAATCGGGGGATGGTTCTCACCAGATGAGAAGGAGGTTCAAAGCTCTGCGTTAAGAAAAAATAAGGTTCAACACGCGTGGTCGTGGATAAGAGATCCAGACATGACAGTGTAAGTTCGTTTACTCTTGAGTTGATCATATTCACGCACTGGGAGGGATATCGTAATTCGTCGTTTTTCGTCACGTCACATCCTCTGTGCCACTGTGTGAATGCCTCATCAGATCAGCAATGTTCTTCAACCCTGAGGCAGTGAAGCCGATTTCAAGACTGCTTGATAATGTCATAGTGCCTGACAAGGTAGATTCAGATGAAGTGGTAGCACAAAATTTCAACTGATTTATCTGAAACTTATGTATCCACTCCTGCAGACTATAACTGAAGCCGACATTCGGAAGAGGCCGCTGTGGCACACGTACCCGGGTCCAAGGCCAAGGCCGCCGCATGTCACCCACAGACCAGAGACCCAGTGGAGGGCGAGCACGCCGGCGACGCCGAGAGAAGAGCACAAGCTCGCCGGGGAGGGGTGGCTGGGACGGGGGAGAGGAAGCGCCGCCGCTGCTACCGCCGATACACAGCAGATCGGGCCGAGCGGCTATGGGAGAGGTTCCCAGGGTGTGCAAATGGCGCAGAGCCGAGGCGGCCGGTTCGACGGCGGTGATGAGTGGGCAGGAGGAGGCGGCGGCGGCGGCACGGTGAAGAGGCCGGAGACGGAGGCGCGGCCCGTTGGGTTGTGGGCGAGAGGAGGCGGCCGTCGCGGGAGCGGGCCAGCCCGCGCGCGGTAGAACGTTCTAATTCATTTGAGGCCCGTTTCAAGCTTCGGGCTGGCGAAGCAGAAAATCTAGGGGCGAGCCCAAAGCAGAAGTTTCAGGTGCCCATGAGGTCATCGCTCATTTTTTTTCTTCTAATAGTGGTTTGTAAGATATTCTCCTTCACCTGACTTAGAGATGACAGTAAAAATATGTGTACAATGGATAATATGTTAGTCTTATCTTCAACGAAAAAGCGAGACCATTTCGAACTAGCCTTTGAAGGCATATTTTTATAAAAGAAATCTCTAAGCACATCGCGCCAGCCAAGACTCGCACGCGGGTTGGCTAATTGCGCTCCTTGTGGGCCTAGCCAAAAGGATGACACCCTGTTTTAAGTCTTAATTATCTTTAATAACTAGCTATTTTAAATAAAAAATGATGCGGCATATTGTGTTAAGAGATTATCTCTTAATTAAGAGGAGGAAATCCTTTTTACTGATTTCACTTTCCTTCAGTCCGGCATTTTATTTTACATGATACTTGTAATACAACACCACTGTACATGCCCTGAGTCGGACGTGTTGGTGGTTTGGGTCATAATAGGTGCTTTCGCTTTGATGGGGCACACAAACTTAGGCATGCAAGAGGTAACATTAGTCTAACAGTTAAGGCTGAGTTTATTATTGAAGTGGATTATAATAATTGAGCTTATCGAACAATGTAAAGTGTATACAGTGATAGTTGCTTTTGGAGCTCGGGCTCCATGAAGGCCGGTTTTTAAAAAATTCAAAATTCAACAAAATTCATATTATTACATTTCAAAACATTCTAAAAAAATGCAGACATAGATGGAGACATAACACACATTTTTTTGAAAAGGGGGGCTCCCCGGCCTCTGCATCAGAGTGATGCATACGGCCATCTTATTAACCAAAGGAACAAAATGTGCCAACAAGGTTCCAAAGTCTTCAACTAAAAAAAGAAAAGACAGCTCACACAGAGCCTAAAATGCTAACGACACAAACTAGCCAAGAGGAGACGCCACAACCGGCTGGCTAAAAATAGACAGGTAAACTAATTGCCTATCCTATTACATGACCGCCATCCAAACCGGTTGAAGATATCCCGACCTACTATCTCCCAACGGATAGATCCAGTAATCAAATGCTCCCTGGCTTCCATCGGAGTGAGTAGCGACCACGAACGGATCACTGCCGTGGTGCGGAAAATAACCTGCAAAAAATGAATACGTGATGTTCTGTTAAAAACCAAATCATTTCTGCAATTTCAGATAGTCCACAGCAGAGCACAAACTCCAACCCTAATATGTCTTGCTAAGTCAGGCTCAATCCCATTAAGCCATGTCCCAAATAAAGCATTGACAGAATTCGGTGGAGTAATATTAAAAGCAATATGGACCGTCCGCCAAAGGACTTGGGCCAACGGGCAATCAAGAAAGAGGTGCTTAATCGTCTCATCCCGATCACAGAAACTACACCTAGTAGGTCCTGTCCAATTACACTTAATCAAGTTGTCTTTTGTTAAAATAACTTGTTTATGGACAAACCACATAAACACTTTTATTTTCAAAGGGACTTTGACATCCCAGACAGTCTTGGAAGTTGGAATGGAGTTCGAATTAATAACATCAATATACATTGATTTAACTGTAAATACTCCAGACATAGTCAGTTTCCAGCGTAATTCATCGGGTTGGTCAGAAAGTTGAACCTCCATGAGTCTCCTAACTAGATGGAGCCATTTGTCCCAACGATTGTCCACTAGCACTCGTCTAAACTGAATATTAAGGGGGACAGATTGAAATATCATTGCAACGAACACCTCACGTCGTTGAGCAATACGATATAAAATTGGATATTGAATGGCCAAGGGTGAGTCGCCAAGCCAAGTATCCTCCCAGAAACGTGTACTAGCACCGTTTCCAATAACAAACCTCGTCCTATTGAACATTGATTGTTTGACTTTCATTAGTCCTTTCCAGAAAGGCGAGTCAGTCGGCCTGACTGTGACCTGGGACAACGTTTTAGTCTGGAGGTACTTGCTACGAAGGATCTACGCCCATATGGCCTCAGTCCCGGACGAGAGCTTCCACAGCCACTTACTAAGAAGGCATCTGTTCTTAACTTCAAGATTCTCAATTCCAAGACCCCCTTGGTCTTTCGGTCTACAGATGATATCCCATTTAGCAAGCCAGTATTTTCTTTTAAGTTTATCACCTTGCCAAAAGAAACGCGATCGATAGAAGTCCAGTCTTTTCCTAACACCAACTGGGACCTCAAAGAACGATAAGAGGAACATAGGCATACTCGTGAGCACCGAATTTATCAAGATTAATTGGCCACCGTATGACATGAGCTTACCCTTCCAGCAAACTCAGTTTCTTCTCAAATCGGTCTTTGATGCACTTCCATTCTCTGTTTGTCAGCCTACGATGGTGTATCGGAATACCTAGGTAGGAGAAGGGTAAAATCCCCAACTCGCACCCAAACAATTGCCTGTAAGACTCCTGTTCGTCTTTGGCTCTACCAAAGCAGAACAGCTCGCTTTTATGAAAGTTAATCTTTAACCCGGTCAATTATTCAAATAGGCATAACACCAGCTTCATATTTCTCGCCTTGCCCAAGTCATGCTCCATAAAGATGATTGTATCATCAGCGTACTGAAGGATGGATACACCTCCATCAACAAGATGAGGCACCAAGCCGCCCACTTGACCATTCTCCTCAGCCCTTCCTATCAAAATTGCTAACATATCCACCACAATGTTAAACAGGATAGGGGACATCGGATCTCCTTGTCTTATGCCTTTATGTGTCTGGAAATAATGACCTATGTCGTCATTCACTTTAATTCCCACACTCCCTTTTTGCGTAAATGATTCGACCTGTCGGCGCCAGGCTTCATCGAAACCTTTCATACGCAATGCCTGTTGGAGGAATGGCCATTTGACCTTATCGTACGCTTTCTCGAAATCCACCTTAAAAATGACTCCATCTAATTTTTTGGAGTGGATTTCATGGAGCATTTCATGAAGGACAACCACCCCTTCAAGGATATTTCTGTCCGGCATGAAAGCAGTTTGGGATTGTTGCACCACAGAATGTGTAATCTGTGTGAGCCTATTAGTCCCGACCTTGGTGAAGATTTTGAAACTAACATTGAGAAGGCAGATCGGCCTGAACTGCTCAATTCTCACCGCAACCGTTTTCTTAGGGAGCAATGTGATAGTTCCAAAATTCAAGTGAAATAATTGAAGCTGTCCAGAGAATAGATCATGAAACATAGGTAACAAATCCTCCTTAATAATGTGCCAGCACTTTTTATAGAACTCGACCGGGAACCCATCCGGTCCGGGAGCCTTATTGTTTTTCATTTGTGCAATAGCCTCAAACACCTCCTTCTCTGAGAACGGGGCAACCAGGATATCATTATCGGCAGCAGACAATTGAGGCACATCCCCAGTCCTGGACTCATCGAGGGAGACACAATTATCCTCCGGAGGACCAAATAACTGCCTATAATAGTCTGTAATATATGTTTTTAGATTATCCCGTCCTAAAATAGTGCCCTCATCTTGCTCAAGCTGAAAGATTCGCTTCTTTCTGTGCTTACCATTGGCAATCAAGTGAAAGAATTGAGTATTCGCGTCCCCTTGGACCACTTTGCGGACCTTAGCTCGCAAAGCCCACTTCAACTCTTCTTCATGGAGAAGTTCTTTCAACCTCTTCTCCGCCTCAGTTTTAATCTGGAGCTCAGCTGGCAGCAAAATCGGAGATTCAACTTTTAAGTCCAAGGTCTGTATAAGATAAAGGAGCCTATCCTTCTCAATCTTATACACCCCACTGATGTGCTTAGCCCAACCCCGTAGGAAACTTCTCAAATTCCTATTCTTATTTTGCCAACGCTCAACCGCCGTCCTACCTCCTACACCCTTAGCCCATTCCCTGGTGATCAGGTCTAAGAACCCCTCACGTTCAAACCAGGTCATCTCGAATGAGAAGGTGTTTTTGTTTCCCACGTGGTTCGGCTCCCCTGAGTCCACGAACAGGGGTGTGTGATCGGATATTCCCCGCGAGAGATCTTGCACCGTGACAAGAGGGAATTTCTGTTCCCACTCCACGCTCGCGAGAACTCGATCAAGTTTTCCGTATGTTGGGTTTGGCAAAGCATTAGCCCAGGTAAACTTTCTACCAGAAAGCTCTATCTCCCTCAGATCCAAGCTTTCAATAATGGTATTGAACATAAACGACCACCTACCGTCAAAGTTATCATTATTTTTCTCCTCTCTCCTCCTAATGATATTGAAATCACCCCCGACTAAAATTGGAAGCTGCTCGGACCCACATATTCGAACAAGATCCGCCAGAAACTCCGGTTTAAGCTCAGGTTGTGCGGCACCATAAACCGCCACCAAAGCCCAGTTGAAACCATCAACTTTAGACCTAACTTGAACTTTACCGCGAAGTCACCCATGACTACACTTCGGACTTCAAGCGAATCACATCTCACACCTAGCAAGATACCACCCGATCTTCCTCGCGGAGGGAGGCAATGCCAATCGAAATCAACACCACCCGCAAGAGAGGATAGAAACTGCGACGCAAAATTATCTCTACCGGTTTCCGATAAAGCAATAAAATCTAACTAATGTTCCAGAGAAGCCTCAGCAAGAAACCTTCTTTTAGCCAAGTCTTTCAGACCTCTGCTATTCCAAAAGATTCCTTTCATATTTCGTCATGGAATTTTTTAGTAGTCTGAATCCTAGCACTCCTACGAACTGCAGAATCGGGATAAATCTTCCGTTTCCACTTATGCTTTGGTTTACTAGGCTCTGTCACCCGATCCTCATAACTGGGCTCAACGGAGCTAACAGCGGCAAAATCTAGGGGCACATCCTCGTCCTCAGACTCAAGACTAGAAGGTGCTAGATCCGCACACAAATTATCGAGCACTCTAACCCCTAACGCATCAATCTCCTCATCATTCATGAGTTTAACCGCTGCAAGATTACG